TGGACAACATGGCTCCAACTCTGAGGTTCCTCCTCTTACAACAACCTACCTGGGAACAGCACAGAGGGACACTTAAACGTTAGAAGTCATAAAAGGAGTTCCACAGTCTCGGAGGCCTAAAGGTTAAAGGGTGCAAGTGCTTTTACCTCTCATCTGAGGGAATTTCTTAAGTTATGACAGACTGGCATGGTGGTTAAATATCTTCAACCAGCCCAGCTGCCCTTGATTTTAACTTTCCTTGGATAATCAATAAAATCTTAAAATCCCTAAAAAAAGGACACAGTGTAAGGAAGCTAAGATCGGTGTGATGTGATCATGTTTCTTAGACAGTGTCCTGGAAGCAGAGTTTTGGATGAGCTGGAGACAGGAGAGGGATTTTTAACTGCTTCTAGAGAGCAACCAATTACAGAAAACTAACTGAGTAGTTATGACGGCACAAACAACAGATTCCAGATTTTTGGCAAAAAGGAAATAAAGTATTAGAAACTTGAAATGTTTCTAAGATGATGAAAGCAGGACTGAACCATTGATTTGTACAATTACAATAACAGTATTAGAAGTAGCAGCACAAGTACTGTCAGTAGAATTAGTAGCCAATAGTAGCAGTAAGTCGGTACCAGTAAAAACATTATAATAGTAGTAGTAATAGTATATTCAACAGCTGTATATAACTGTAGTGGATGCAGTGGAAAAAGCAGTGCTGGCAGTGTTCAAACAGCAGTAATACAGCAGCAGAAGCAGCAGTACGAGTACTATAAGTATATTTAGTAGCTGACAGTAGTTATCAGAAGCTGTCGGAGAACTAATAGTAGAAGCAGTGCTGTAGTAGTATTCAACTTTATCTTCTACCATATGAAGTTTACATGCAAGCCAACTTTAAAATATCCCTGCAAATAATTCTGAATCTGAATTTGTCTTTTAAGTCAGCTGGTGAACACAGTCCCACTCTAGTTCTGAGTAATCTGACCAAAGATAAATAGCCAACACTGGCAACATTTGGAAAGAAAGTACAGGAAGAAAGAGAAATCAGGAGATGTTTGGATGTGGATTGGCCCAAGAGACTAAAGAGACTGAGCAGCCACCTACTCGTTCTGCCAAGTGAATCTACCTAGAAGCTTTGATTTCTTGTGGTTTTCACTTATTAAATTCACTTCAGTCATAAAATAGAATATGGAAATTTAACAATGCCAAGAAAATTCTACTATTCAGTAACAGTGGGCTGTGAAAAAACAAGAACACGGTAAAGCAAATACAACTATACACAAATACAACTCTACACATAATATAATATATTATGCTGGTTTAGTTTCCTCTTTTCTGGTCTGATCAGAGCAGACTGAGAGGAGAAGTGGTCATATGGAACTAAATACCAATCTTACAGTACATGCAGACAGTTTACTAAAGCAAATGTTTTGTTGGTTTAGTTTCATTCTGTTAAAAACAACATCCACATAACACCTTTTCCAAATACTCACAAACCACTCAAGCCAACATGGAATACAGACGAAAGACTTGATATATCTATATCTATAAAGCAGGGTTTTTTTTTATTTAATCACAGGAGGATTAAACAAAGAAAATGCTATAGTTTGGATTTTGGGGCTCTTCAGACTTTACATGTAACTGAGGAAAACAAACACACATATAATCTGCACGCGCTTTGTTTACTGTGGGCGACGCACCGAGCCTCTGTCTATTCAACCAACTTGCCAGGAATAATGTTTTTATATGCTAATTTCAACCCCTCAGCTGATTCATTGACGACTGCGTCACATTACGAGACATTTATGTTCAGTGTTTAGGTGAAAACATCACCGGCTGCTGTGCAACAACGTTTCCCTGCGAGGGATAAGTTATTCTCTCCAACACGATGTCAAACACACGGACTTCTTCTCAGATCCACATCAACAAAAAGTTATTTATAGCCTAGTTTACCTGCTAAGTCCAGGCTCCGGCGGCGTGGTTTCGTCCTCTTTTTGTCCACTCTCGAGCCTAATGTTACCGGATTTATTAGGAAAGCGTAACCTGTTCTTTACAGCGGGACATTTTCCGCTCACAGTATCTTACAGTTTGATCAATGTTTAACAGGTGGTAGGGTAAAAAAAAAGAAAAGAAAAGAAAAGACAAACAGAAGCAGCAAACGATTCACCTGCTGCCTCCTCAGCTCTCAGCTCCTCCTGTCATCACAGATTCATCAGAGTCAAGTCAGCATCGGTAACACACGCAACTTCCGGTGCTCACCTTCAAAGTAAAGGACGTTTAACTATCTAAATAATATCAATAATATAAGTGTTAAGTTCAAGGAATGGTTTACATGCATAGTTTGCCACTTATGAGTCATATCCTGTTTATGATCCAATTTGAGATATGGGATTATGTGAATCACGGCAAAACCTGGTTATTTACATTCTTTTATGAACAATTAAAACATTCTCCAGGATACCGATCCCTATCTTCTGTCTGTACAGGCTTGTCTTTGATCTCCATGAACTTTAATTTCTGTACCAAATGGTTTAACTGGGACTGTCCAATGTGTTTTGACTCTTTCATCTTGTCACCAGTAATTGTAGACAAGAGTGACAAGCATTACTTATTTGTCTCCAACTTATTCTCACCTCACACCGTTCATCATTTCATCTTCGTTTTTCTCGCCAGCTACTTCATGACATGATTTAAGTTGAAAGCGACAGTGAACAGACACGTGTTCACGTGCCAGAGAATCCTGTCTTTTTCTTTCCTCAGAGAAACACAATTAGTATGTTGGTTCAACTAACCTGGGATAACGGCATTGCTACATTTCTGCATGATATAATGTTTAAACATATAAACGCGGTACTCCAAAATCTAATTTACCTTAAGCTGAAAACACCTTTGTGATTTTGCAGTACATGGAGGCATCACTGAAACAAAAGCAACTCTGATGTGGTCGGTTTAGTGAGACCTATTTAAAGGTTCGCTCATTGTTCTGCACACCTAATCTATCAATGTATGTGTAAATGGATGTTTATCCTACAATATGACAGAAACAATATGAGACAACAGCACAATGAAGACTACGTAAAGATAAAAAATAAACTGTGAAATATTGTTGTTATAGTTTAATTACCTGATAATATCCAACTAGTAGAACTCAACTCAAGTTTATCGCCTTAAAATAAAATCACATCAAACACAGCGCTTTTATTCTGAAGGCAAATCCCAACGACTTCCTGTATTTGTCCAGTTACGTCTGCGTGTTTTGACGCAGTTGAGGAGCTTACCTGATCCCATATTTCCCACCATACACCGCGGCACCGGGGTCATGGGCTGGCCGTGATGTCCTGCCCGGAACAAGGCCACCTATCTGTCGGAGAGATTAACTGCCTGCAGGAAGAGAGAGATTATTAATGACAAATGATTAATGATTATAAATGGTTTACCATGACAGTCTCTATTTATCTATATAAATAAATAACCTCTTATATATTGAGGTTTTTTTCAGCAGAAAATTGAGGATACCAGTGTGGATGTATGAATTATTTGCCCTGTGCCTACTTGGTTCCTGAGTGTCAAAAGCTTCCCTGTAGACTCCACAATTATTTCCATGCTTTTTAAAAACGTTTTGATTGTCCTTCGCTCTGGGCCAGATGCTTCAAATCTCCCTTGGGTGTTCAAGTCCTCTGGCCCAGATGAATCGTTTGAGTACTCTTTTTTTTTTTTTTCATACTTTAATAAAAATCACAAAGGCAACTGTTTGTTTATTATTATAACTTATTTCTCGGTTCAATTCTCCACAAGGAAATTTAAACAATTTCCACCACATGTATCACGTAACGGATTTAGTTTAACGTGTACAGTGGGTTGAATTCTAAGAAACATTTTATACCATCTGCAATAATCACTCTGAACAACAACTCTGTACAGCTGCTGATTTTTATGTAGGTTTTAAATGTGTCTTTTAATGAGCCTTGTCAAAGCTGTTGTGGGACAGACACATCTATCTATATAATCTATAATTTAAATATACAGGGGTGTTTTACTTCTATTTATAAGAACACTACTAAAAAAATATTATGATGTAAATATTACTGACACACTTTGTTTTCTTACGTTACGTTGCTGCCACCATGTCACAGATTAGTACGTCCATTCAGTCAGATTAACCGGGTAGTCGTGACCCAGGGGTCACCGTGTAGAACCAGCATTAGTCTTATTAATGTCACATTAGCTAAGCCTGTGGAGGAACAAGGTTTTAGGAAACAATCAACCTGAGTTACGTTAAGACTTCATTACAGCAGCATCAGTCAGCGGGGCCAAGGCTCAGCAGCTTAATGTAAAGTGAGTGCAAACAAATACAGCAAGCACAGTGTGTGACCAAATACAGAAACGCTGCAAGTAGGGCACATGTCAGTGGTAACTTAAACGAGCTGTGTCCGTCCCTTTTATTGTCCCCTGGAAACAGTTTCCTTTGTCATCCGTTTTATTACCTCAGAGCAACAAAACCACCCACTGTGCCTCCCCTTTTTATTCAACATTAAGAATAATATAGTCCAAGCTACGAGTTTTTTGTGATCTTTTGTTTGATCTCATTACTTTTAATAATATAATTACTATTAGTTGAATTATTTACATAAATGGTGACATTAAAACCCAATAAAATAGATCTCTATAATAGCTCCTGTGTTTCAGTAAGTTTTCTGCTCACGTTCAAAACTTTCGGCACAAAATCTATCCCAAATATCTGTGTATCAAGAAAAAAAGTTGCAATATTACGAGAATAACGTCATCATTTAATGAGCAATCATAATATTTACTTAAGTCTACCTGTTCTATACAGTAGTCTGCTGTGACAGTGTTGATGTGGCAGTATACCCTTCTCTTCAAAATATATTTAAAAAATAATTTGAGCAAGCAAATGGCATTCATATAAATATGTTTTTCCCGTCACGGTGTGTCATTTGTACAGGAATATTTTTGTACTCTATAATTGTTTCTTATAAAAACAAACCAATGTCACGGAGTGGAGTTTTTTTCTCTTTTTATTATGTGTAGCAAACAAGCATAAATACATTTTCACCTCATTAAAAATAGACTCTGCTGTACATTCATTGCGTTTTACCAAAATCTCTTTTTTAACTGAGAGTTGAAAAGTGGTCATTGTACTTTTACGTTCCACCAAATTTGCCTCTAAAGTCAAATGTACTTGTACTGAATCTTCATTTTGATCTAAAAGTGATGTTTGAAATTATATCAGTGGCAAACTGAAGTTGTTTAAACAACATTTGATCTCTTCATCCTCTGTAAATCATCAACAGGTGGAGTGGAAGACCCCGCCCACCTTGGCGCCCTGCCCAGCCAGTTTGTTGTATTCAGCGACGGCCTTCTCCGTCTGCAAGACTCTGACGTCGACCCCTTTCTGCTTCACGAAGTCCAGAGTGGAGGAGGGAACCTAAGAGAAGAGACGGCACAAAACGGACTCATGGCATGTCTCCACAGAAGCTGCGTTTTTTTATTTCATCTCACGCGTGTCTAATGAAACAGATATGATCATATTTCATTCAATCCAGCTGTACTGCACCCTGAAGTGTATTCACACCGCCTCCTGTGTAGACGCGCCTCCAGCAACTACAACCCCGCCCTGTTAACACGCAGCCTCCATTTTCATGTCCAAGGTTTTTCATAGTAACATCCCAAACCAGTTAGATGATGATGACATAAAGCCCCTGGAACTGCACAGGTACTGACTCATCTGACCCATAAATGAAACCGCTGGTTTCCAGAGAATGTGGGAAACACATAAATTTACTTCCTCAAATATGATTTTGGTCACGTCCATTTCCCCTACACTGTCTGTCTTGATAGGTTTATACAAAAACCACAGAACGTAATTGAAAAAACAACATAATTTTTTCCCTGACTCTACTGTACTCATTCTACGTCTAAATCTGATAATGCAGTAAGCCTCATCAGTAGGAATTCTCAATGCATACTTGACATTGAAGTAGAATCACAGACTGTATATAAAAGTTCTGTTTTACCTGCAGAGCTTCACTCATGCCTCTGCCGATGACCAGCAAGTCTATTCCCTTCTTCAGCACCTCCTCCAGGTCAGCAGGCTGTACTCCTGGGTAATGCTGCGGAGCGAAAAGCAAAATAATATATGAACAATATCATGACAGTTAAAGGGGAAACCCCAGCGTGCTCTGCTAAGGCCTGTTGCTTATAAAGTGTCTGTCATATTGTGTTGCTAATGTACATGTACAGTGTGTGTATATATTTCAGTTTTATGGTTCCACTCACATCGGTCCCAGTCTCTCTCCAGTCCCAGGCCCGGCTGCCTCCAGGCCAGACCTTACAGTCCTTGTAGCTGGAGGAGCATCCTTTCACCTTCATGTGGCCCCAGGAGAGAGAGGCGATCTCTGGAGAGGACATGTTACGGGAGGATACCTGCTGTGAGACGAGGTTGAGACACAGACGTAACATGATGACTCTGTGCAGAGTAATGTACACGTTAGTTCCAGCAGGGCTTGAAAATCCTTTTAAAGGCCTCTCATTCACACACACAGCAGAGAGCCACCATGCAAGGTGCTGGAGCAATATGGGCTTCAATGTCTTGCCCAAGGATACTTGATGACATGTGGGAATCATGGACAACTTCTCTACCTCCTGAGCCACATCTTGTCAGCAAAACTAAAAACAAGCTTTGGCCATAACTGAACTAAGAAACTGTAACTTTGTGTTTTGGTTGGTTTGAAGACAAGGGCTATAAGAAAGGTGCATGACCTTTGTTCTAGCCCTGTGAGAGGTTTTGATAAACTTTTAACACAAGCTGTCTAAGTCCTTTGTGTTTGCCTTGATGCTCTCTTTATGTTGTTTGGCCACAGCACAAGCACATAATGAGAGATGATGGATTCATTAATGTCAAGTAGCTGAATTATATATATAAGCTTCTGTCATCCTTTGTAAAATTTTGAAAATGTTTTGCAAACTAATGTACTGTTCTGTCATTGTCTTGTTTTTATGATGAAGAAGACAACAGTATGCCACTGTTCTCTTCTCTAAAGCACGACAGGTGCATCTAAAAAAATTTAGACTATTGTGGAAAAGTAAATTTTCTTCTGTAATTTCATTAAAAAAGTAAAATATTCATATTTTCTAGATTCATTACACATAAAGTGATATATTTCCTTTTTTTTGTTTTAACTTTGGTGATTAAGACTCACAGCTCATGGATATCAAAACTCCCGTATCTCAAAATGTATTTATTTATGAATTTATAATATAGAAATGTCAACTAAAGGAGAGCTGTAATCAGCTAATTAACTCAAATCACCTGCAGAGGTTTCCATTAATGGGTGGCAGTAGATCAGTCTATAAGAACTTGGCTTGGAAATCGGAGGGTCACCGATTCGAGTCCAGCTTGGACCAAAGATACGGAGTGTGGGCTGGTAGTGGAGAGGCTGCCAAAAGCGGCCTTGTGCAAACCCCAGAAACCCCTAACTGCTCGGGGCGCCGCACTACATGGCAGTCCCCTCCTTTTGACATTTTTCCATGTGTTGTTACAATTAAATATTGAATTTCTCCTTCCAGGATTAATAAACATGTCTACTTCTAATCTCTGTCTGGTTCTGGCACTCACAGTAAACTTTTTCAGGATATTCAAATTTTTTGAGATGTACCTGTAACATTAAATACCCACAAATGTTCCAAGGGGTCTAGAAATAATTATAATCTACAAGAATCAGGTACTTTATTAGTATTGCTACTTAATATGCTGTTGATCATTATTATACCTTAGGAGTGAAAAAGGCTTCGTGATTGTGTTGAAGCAGCAGAGGATTATAACACGCAACAAAATAAGTTGAGATGATCATGAGTTTGTCAGCTGCAAAAGCCAAAACCCTCCACTGCCAGATCTGCTGTTATTCATAGGAGCTGACCGGAAGCTATTTTTGTACTGGCCATAGACTGGCTCATGCTACCCACCAAACCACTTAAATCTGTATGTCAAAATCTGGTGTTGCATTAACAAACCTCAACAGGTTAATAAAGAATTATAAACGGAGCTGCAATGCTGTTGTCAGTAGTTCATTATGTCATAAAAGGAAATCATGAAGCAAAGCCTTGTGCTGCTGCTTACCCTTTCTCGTGCCCACAGACTGGAAACACACCCCTGGTATTATTCTCCCTCCTGTAATTAAAGGGCAACACCATTCAGTTTGACTCAGATACAAACACAAGACCTTACTGCGAACATGTGACCAGATAAATGATGGTTACCAGCTCAGTAGTCAGTACTCATCAACAAGAAGTTAACAGTCCTTTCAGTCTTTACTTTGTTGTGGATATAAAAATATATGGAAACTACAGAACTTAAAGCTAATTTATTGTAAGTTGTGGCGAAGAGAATTAGCATTAGCAAGTACACTCTCGATCAACAGAGCGTCTGACAAAAACATTCTCATCTGTGGACTTGATTTGTAAATCACCTGCATTCATGTCTTTATAAACTAACTCTTTGGCCTGGCTAAATTCCTTTATTTTATGCATCGACATCCCAGACTTTCATTTTAATTGCCTAATTCTTCGGCAAGCATAAAGTAATTTAAAGCTCCCCAGTTGTTTACTGTTTAATAAACTTATAAAGTAGCAAAATTGAGCTTCACTTACACCTTGATGGATTAGAAGTAATGTTCTTCACATTAATTAATATAATACTTTAATTCTGTATACTGAGTGAGTTTTACTTCTAAAACTTTAGGTGCATATTAGTGACAATATCTCAATGTCTTTTTACTGAAGTTCTATTTTTATAGCAAATCTCTTCCTCTTTGTTTAACGATCTGAGTAACGCCGCATTCAAAGCTCAGCGTGCAGCACTGTAATAATTCTGTAGTCGGAGTAAAGTCCAGCGCACCTTTATCATTGAACACAGAGTGGGGGGTGCACCGGTCCTGGAAATACTGCAATACCAGGTCGATGCGTGGAGTGGACGGAGCAAGCCCCTATTCCATCTCCCTACTCCAAAAATCAATTTAATATATGGTCCCCGGGTAGGAGACGTATCAGATATTAAACTGATAAGAACAGATACTACACTTGATCTTAGCCAAAAGGCCGAGAAGCGATAACGTGATGACGTCGGAGGCAAAGGCCTCATTCACCGCACACTCACTTTCACTGAGGGTGGAAAAGCTGCGGGACACTTTAAGGACAGTCGGCAAATAAGAGCAGCAAAGGACAACGAGCGACAGTCGAGGAAAATGTCACGGAGTCGCTACAAATAATGTTATTTAGAAGAAAGAAACGAAAATAAAGTGGCGCCTCGACGCTTCTGGGTCACGTGGGGGGCCTTCTAATCCAATCAGAATTTAAAGCAGTAGACTCTCAACAACGTTACAATAATACAAACAACTGTGCGTATTTTACTTTAATGTTAATTCTAACAAACAAAAAGCTTTCATAACATTACAGAGTCCTCTGCGGGTGAAGAAACGGTTTGCTTTTTACGACATAGCGTCTGTTTTCAGAAACAAATGGAGCTCCGACAGTCGCAAGAGACTCTGCTCCCAGTGTGACAGAGGACATGTAGAGACAGAGCTGCACTTTCTAACCTCATGCCCTAAATATAAAACACAAAGACAAAAACACTTTGCAAACATTTCCCAAATATACCCCGAATTCGAATTCATATCACACAGAAACTCCCCTATTTACTGGGAGAAATGCCCAAATGCGAAATAATTGCTGCAAAATATGCCTCAGACTAACAAATAATTGTACAGATTTTCTGACCACAACAAAGCTCCGGTGACTATGCTAGCCGAGATTACTCTGTCCCATGAGGACTTTACACTCCTTAAGAAAGCGAACAAGAAGATTGCTGACCTTATGGAAGACATCCGACGACTTTCAGAGGAACTCAAAGAGAAAGATTCCCTGCTGACTGGCTTTATGGATGTGGTTTCAGTACAAGCCAAACAGATTGTTTCTCTTAGCGCAACCGCTAACATCCAGGACACCGTGTTTTGGGACCCCTCTAGTCTTCCCAGGCTTTCATCCTGCTCGACTCCAAAGCATCAGTCAACCTGGGCTGAAGTGGTGGTCCGTGGCTGCAAGAGAGGCTCGGACGGGGCTGCCTCTCCTCCGCACATCGGCCTCTCCAACCGCTATGCAGCCTTGTCTAACGACACTCCGGTCCATCCAGCTGATGCACCTGCGGCTTCGAGTCTCTCTGATACGGATCTCTTTCGGCGCACAGCGCCTGCCGACACTGTTGCATCTCCTCCACCGGCTGCTAACGGTGATCGGCTGGGCCGCCAGTCTGCCACAATAATTGGTGACTCCATAACCAGAAACCTCCGTTTCTTTAACGCTACCACTCACTGCTTCCCCGGTGCCACCACAGCTGACATTTTAAATCACGTCCTCCATCACAAGAGTGATAGTCCATGTCGGAACACATGACACAGCTCTTCAGCAGTCTGAGCTGACAAAATTAGATTTTAACCGTCTTCTTAACTTTTTAAATGCAGTGTGTAAAGTCCGTTTTTATCTCTGGTCCCATTCCCACAGGTGGTCGCGGTGCTGGCCGCTTCAGTAGACTCCTTGGCCTCCACGACTGGCTCCAGTCCGCCTGCAGGGCTCACCATGTGTTTTATGTGGATAATTTTAATATTTTCTGGCAAAGAATGTCTCTTTTTAAGACAGACGGACTTCACCCAAACAAACGGGGCTCAGAAATGTTAGCTGCGCACATACAGCATGTGGTGCGGTCCACACATGACTTACGTGAATGACTCATCATTCATTCAAATTTTTGAAGTACAAAAGTTGCCAATTACTTAATGTATAACAATATGTTGTGCTGTAAAAACAAAGACAAGAAACCAAACACAACATATCAAGCCTTGTAAGTGAAAGTAACAATGTGCCGCTTATGTTTAAAGTGAAATTATACAGAAGTTGTTCTAAATTTGTACAAAATACCACCTGATATTGATAGACCACACCTGTGAGTTAGTGACCACAGCAAAATATCTCACTGTCTACAACATAATCTTTTAAAATCAGGTTTTTCTGAAAAATGGTACTTTTGCCCCTGCTCTCAACTACTAGTTCTACATACAGTACCTTCAGTATCTAAATCTGATAATGCAGTAAGCCTCATCAGTAGGAATTCTCAATGCATACTTGACATTGAAGTAGAATCATAGACTGTATATAAAAGTTCTGTTTTACCTGCAGAGCTTCACTCATGCCTCTGCCGATGACCAGCAAGTCTATTCCCTTCTTCAGCACCTCCTCCAGGTCAGCAGGCTGTACTCCTGGGTAATGCTGCGGAGGGAAAAGCAAAATAATATATGAACAATATCATGACAGTTAAAGGGGAAACCCCAGCGTGCTCTGCTAAGGCCTGTTGCTTATAAAGTGTCATATTGTGTTGCCAATGTAAATTCTTGTACATGTACAGTATATATATTTATTATGGCATGCCGTTTAGGAAATTATATATATATATATGAAGTTTGTCCGTCTGAATATATGGAATGAAATCATCATCATCAGACGTCATTAAGGCACTGCCGCCATCTTGTGTTTTTGATGTGATTAATCCGTATGGATGTAATTGTGACACTATTTGGAGCATTGAAGAGATTACAAACACACTAGCAAATGCATGTACAAGCCATAATACTGGGAACCATATCCAGTAGTTCTCCTGATGAAATAATTTATTCTCTTTCATCGTGGAAGACCGAATGCAGGAAACCTCCCAGGACAGGCAGTTCCCGTTTAACAGGCAAACAAGCCTTCAACCTCACAGGTGCCCCCACAACAGCTTAAGTTAGTTTGCATCCGAATTCATCTTTTAAACACCAAAGTCACAGAAAAAATAACTTGGCAGCGGCAGTTTTTTTTGTCAATGGAGTTTGAAGAGAGCGATATAACAGCTATTTCTGGTTAAACACAGGATCTTACCCTTTAAAAAGTTACTGCCTGAGCCCTTTTGGGTGGACATATGAAGATTGTATATAGGGGTTGTTGTGGGGGGCACCTGTGAGGTTAAAGGCGTATTTGCCTGATAAACGGGAACCTTCTCACCTTCTCATTTTTTCAAGTTGCCTTTGCTCTGATTACTGCTTTGCACACTCTTGGCGAGCTTCAAGAGGTAGTCACCTGAAATGGTTTTCCAACAGTCTTGAAGGAGTTCCCAGAGATGCTTAGCACTTGCTTAGCCAGCTCACCCCAAACCAACTCGATTGGGTTCAGTTCCGGTGACTGTGGAGGCCAGGTCATCTGGCGCAGCACTCCATCACTCTCTTTTAGCTTACTTAACTTACTTAAGCTATACATGTCAGAGGTCGCACACCTCTGGAGCAACTAGGGGTTAAGTATCTTGCTCAGGGACACAATGGTGGATATCTCACAGTGGGAAATGAACCCGGGACTCCCACACCAAAGGCAAGTATCTTATCTATGCGCATATCAACACCTCCTTCTTGGTCAAACAGCCCTTACACAGCCTGGACGTGTGTTTGGGGTCATTGTCCTGTTGAAAAATAAATGATGATCCAACTAAACGCAAACCGGATGGGATGGCATGTCGCTGCAGGACGCTGTGGTAGCCGTGCTGGTTCAGTACGCCTTCAATTTTGAATAAATCCCCAACAGTGTCACCAGCAAAGCACCCCACACCATCACACCTCCTCCTCCATGCTCCACGGTGGGAACCAGGCATGTAGAATCCATCCGTTCACCTTTTCTGCGTCACAAAAGAGACGGCGGTTGTAACCAAAGACCTTAAATTTGGACTCGTTAGACCAAAGCACAGATTTCCACTGGTCTAATGTCCATTCCTTGTGTTTTCTTGGCCCAAACAAATCTCTTCTGCTTGTTGCTTCTCCTTAGCAGTGGTTTCCTAGCAGCTACTTGACCATGAAGGCCTGATTCGCAAAGTCTCCTCATAACAGTTGTTCTAGAGATGTGTCTGCTGCTAGAACTCTGTGCGGCATTCAGCTGGTCTCTAATCTGAGCTGCTGTTAACCTGCGATTTCTGAGGCTGGTGACTCGGATGAACTTATCCTCAGCAGCAGAGGTGACTCTTGGTCTTCCTTTCCTGGGGCGGTCCTCATGTGAGCCAGTTTCATTGTAGCGCTTGATGGTTTTTGCGACTGCACTTGGGGACACATTCAAAGTTTTCGCAATTTTCCGGACTAACTGACCTTCATTTGTTAAAGTAATGATGGCCACTTGTTTCCCTTTACTTAGCTGATTGTTTCTTGCCATAATATGATTTCTAACAGTTGTCCGATAGGGCTGTCGGCTGTGTATCAACCTGACTTCTGCACGACACAACTGATGGTCCCAACCCCGTTAATAAGGGAAAAATTTTTACTAATTAACCCTGACAAGGCATACCTGTGAAGTGAAAACCATTTCAGGTGACTACCTCATGAAGCTCATTGAGAGAACACCAAGGGTTTGCAGCGCTATCTAAAAAGCAAAGGGTGCCTACTTTGAGGAATCTAAAATACAAGACATGTTTTCAGTTATTTCACACTTTTTTGTTAAGTACATAATTCCATATGTGTTCATTCATAGTTTTGACAACTTCAGTGAGAATCTACAATGTAAATAGTCATGAAAATAAAGAAAACACATTGAATGAGAAGGTATATGTATATATTTCAGTTTTACGGTTCCACTCACATCGGTCCCAGTCTCTCTCCAGTCCCAGGCCCGGCTGCCTCCAGGCCAGACCTTACAGTCCTTGTAGCTGGAGGAGCATCCTTTCACCTTCATGTGGCCCCAGGAGAGAGAGGCGATCTCTGGAGAGGACATGTTACGGGAGGATACTTGATGACATGTGGGAATCATGGACAACTTCTCTACCTCCTGAGCCACATCAAAACTAAAAACAAGCTTTGGCCATAAATGAACTAAGAAACTGTAACTTTGTGTTTTGGTTGGTTTGAAGACGTTTTGAAAACTTTTAACACAAGCTGTCTAAGTCCTTTGTGTTTGCCTTGATGCTCTCTTTATGTTGTTTGGCCACAGCACAAGCACATAATGAGAGATGATGGATTCATTAATGTCAAGTAGCTGAATTATATATATAAGCTTCTGTCATCCTTTGTAAAATTTTGAAAATGTTTTGCAAACTAATGTACTGTTCTGTCATTGTCTTGTTTTTATGATGAAGAAGACAACAGTGACATGTATGTCTCTGAAGTTATATATTTCAAGCATTTTTTTGTTTTAACTTTGGTGATTAAGACTCACAGCTCATGGATATCAAAACTCCCGTATCTCAAAATGTATTTATTTATGAATTTATAATATAGAAATGTCAACTAAAGGAGAGCTGTAATCAGCTAATGAACTCAAATCACCTGCAGAGGTTTCCATTAATGGGTGGCAGTAGATCAGTCTATAAAAACTTGGCATGGAAATCGGAGGGTCACCGATTCGAGTCCAGCTTGGACCAAAGATACGGAGTGTGGGCTGGTAGCGGAGATGTTAAAGGGCAACACCATTCAGTTTTTTTTAACCAAGGTCTCTTTTATTTTCAGATATAACAAACAAAGGGAATACAATTCACACATGAAATAGTCAAATCTAGTTCCTGTCCATACAAACAAACCATCCCAGTACCCCCCACCCAAAAGTACCGGACCCCCAGAAAAATTCCATACATCCCGGCAGATTCATACATATATAATTAAAATAAGTAGGTAAACAAAAGAAAGAGACAACATCAATAAATAATAACAAACGCACAAACCAACCGACGAGAAAAAAACCAAAAACAAAGGTATGCACACATGATTGGGTTACATAGATATGTTAGTAGCTGCCATGCCTTCTACGAAGGAAATAAATGGCTGCCAAATGACAGAATTTTCTAGTGGACCCTCTTACAGTGTATCTAATTTTTTCTAAGTGAACATAACTCATGACCTCCCTAATCCATTGGCCATATGTTGGGGGGAAAGCATCTTTCCATTTAAACAGGATAAGCCTCCTAGCCAACAAAGAGCAGAAGGCCATCATGCTCAATTGACACCCAGAAAAGGTGGCATCCACCGGAGCCACGCCAAAAGGTGAAATCAGAGGAGATGGGTGTATTGTTCTCCCACATATTCCAGAAAATGCCTCAAAGATGGACTGCCAAAAATTGTGTAGCTTATGGCACAGCCAAAACATGTGCAGCAGTGTGGCAGGAGCCACAACACCATTCAGTTTGACTCAGATACAAACACAAGACCTTACTGTGAACATGTGACCAGATAAATGATGGTTACCAGCTCAGTAGTCAGTACTCATCAACAAGACGTTAACAGTCCTTTCAGTCTTTACTTTGTTGTGGATATAAAAATATATGGAAACTACAGAACTTAAAGCTAATTTATTGTAAGTTGTGGCGAAGAGAATTAGCATTAGCAAGTACACTCGATCAACAGAGCGTCTGACAAAAACATTCTCATCTGTGGACTTGATTTGTAAATCACCTGCATTCATGTCTTTATAAACTAACTCTTTGGCCTGGCTAAATTCCTTTATTTTATGCATCGACATCCCAGACTTTCATTTTAATTGCCTAATTCTTCGGCAAGCATAAAGTAATTTAAAGCTCCCCAGTTGTTTACTGTTTAATAAACTTATAAAGTAGCAAAATTGAGCTTCACTTACACCTTGATGGATTAGAAGTAATGTTCTTCACATTAATTAATATAATACTTTAATTCTGTATACTGAGTGAGTTTTACTTCTAAAACTTTAGGTGCATATTAGTGACAATGTCTTTTTACTGAAGTTCTATTTTTATAGCAAATCTCTTCCTCTTTGTTTAACGATCTGAGTAACGCCGCATTCAAAGCTCAGCGTGCAGCACTGTAATAATTCTGTAGTGAGAGTAAAGTCCAGCGCACCTTTATCATTGAACACAGAGTGGGGGGTGCACCGGTCCTGGAGATACTGCAATACCAGGTCGATGCGTGGAGTGGACGGAGCAAGCCCCTATTCCATCTCCCTGCTCCAAAAATCAATTTAATATATGGTCCCCGGGTAGGAGACGTATCAGATATTAAACTGATAAGAACAGATACTACACTTGATCTTAGCCAAAAGGCCGAGAAGCGATAACGTGATGACGTCGGAGGCAAAGGCCTCATTCACCGCACACTCACTTTCACTGAGGGTGGAAAAGCTGCGGGACACTTTAAGGACAGTCGGCAAATAAGAGCAGCAAAGGACAACGAGCGACAGTCGAGGAAAATGTCACGGAGTCGCTACAAATAATGTTATTTAGAAGAAAGAAACGAAAATAAAGTGGCGCCTCGACGCTTCCGGGTCACGTGGGGGGCCTTCTAATCCAATCAGAATTTAAAGCAGTAGACTCTCAACAACGTTACAATAATACAAACAACTGTGCGTATTTTACTTTAATGTTAATTCTAAGAAACAAAGAGCTTTCATAACATTACAGAGTCCTCTGCGGGTGAAGAAACGGTTTGCTTTTTACGACATAGCGTCTGTTTTCAGAAACAAATGGAGCTCCGACAGTCGCAAGAGACTCTGCTCCCAGTGTGACAGAGGACATGTAGAGACAGAGCTGCACTTTCTAACCTCATGCCCTAAATATAAAACACTAAGACAAAAACACATTTCCAAAATAGAAACTCCCCTATTTACTGGGAGAAATGCCCAAATGTGAAATAAGTGCTGCAAAATATGTCTCCTCATGCCATGAAGTGAGGACAACCAGTGGAACCTCAGACTAACAAATAACTGTACAGATTTTCAAATTATTATTATTTTGATCATTTGATATTTTAGTAATTGTTTTGTTTTTACATTTGATACTGATTTCTTTTCTTTTCTATTATTATTTTTTAATCAATTAATTTTTTTTGTCTATTAATATACACACACTGTTTCATTTATTTTTTAAAATATTTTTGTTGCTTTTTAACACACACACTTAACGTTTTATTTATTTATTTATTTTGATTTTTAATATTTTTTTAACACAAACACACACGCTTACTGTTTTATTTATTTATTTTATTTTAATTTTTAATATATTTTTTTCTTTTTTAAACACAAACACACATACGCTTTGATTACTTTACGCTTTAATTACTTGTTGAATGAAATGTATGGGACTGATTGTTCTTATGTTGTATGTATGACGCTTTGGCAATGTTGTTATTACATTCAGCCCAATAAGCTAATTTGAATTGAATTTGAATTGAGTCGCTAGAGGACACGAGACATTACTGCAGGTAGTACACGTTTAAATACACACAAGTACTGAAGTTTGCAGTGGAAAGATCCCACATTCAAAAATATATGCTTTAATGTGGAAACTGGAAATTACAAACTCAGATTAGTGTTTTATTTTCCGTTAGTGCCACTACAGCTGTACTTATTTCCACTTCATGCTACTTTGTACTACACTTCTGTACATTTCAGTAGCCTACTTTTCACTCCAGCTGACAGATAGTTACAAGAACAGTTACTTTGCAGATTAACAAAACGACAAGAACAAGTATGTAAATGTTAAACTGCCCAAGAGTAGTTTACCACCTCGACCAACATATCAAAATGCTGCTCACACATTAATCTATAAGTATTAACAACCCAGTACTGCAGTATTTGTATACAGTATGGGTAAAACACTGACAGGGCAAATCGTGTTTCCAGTGGCTGCTTTTACTTTTGATACTCGGAGGTTGCTGCTTCTTTTACATGAGATCAGATTTCTTCCTCCACCGGATTATAACGTGTATTAAATAATTAATGCAAATGTTAACTGCCAGTGTTTTTATCAGATGTGACTAACTCGAAGTCTTCGCAGTGATTTATAACTAAGTTCAGACACTGATTAGGTTTTAATTGAACATCATGTCGGGGGAGAGCGCGAACGCAGTCCCCACTACCACAAATTATGCAGTTGAGATTCCCGCATTTGGGGAATTCACAGGCGTCAGCAGCAACCTGGTTGTACAATGGTTGAGCCTCATCCTGGGTGAACCACCTTCTTGATCATGGTGTCTCCCCTGCCAGGTAAGTATGACTCGTTCCTCTCAGACACGAGCGCCTCTTTCTGGGAGGAACCGCTTTCTGTCACGGTTGTAGCTGAATAAACCCGCGACACCAGAAATCACCGCGATTACAGCCTAAAATAATCCCAGGAATCTCCTTTAGAGATGCTTGGAGTAAAAGCGCTGTGGAAACGTGATATTAAACGGGTTTTATAACCTTTTTATTAACGTTATGTACTGGAAATTAAGCCTGCAGCTCTACTGGAGGACAGATCCATTCAAAAAAACAACACATCACCTTAAAGTGTACAACTTCCGCATTGGATGCTGAGTCCGGGATTAGCCTATCAGAGAAGGAGAAAAACAAATTTTAGCTTTTACTAGTCGATATAATTTATTTTTGTTGGACTCCGAATGTGTGTCTACAACAAAATCTTTATCGACATCACTATGGTCGGTAATCAGTACACTTTAGTTTCCACATCTAAATATTGGATCTTTTTAAATCTCCCGCGACTCTTCTCACGGTGACGAACTGAGCTGCAGCGCCCTCTGCTGGGTAATTAAGAGCCTTCACAGTTCCTCTTAGCAAAAACAATCTTCCCCAAAGTGCTGAAGTTGTCACGAATATCCCATCGTGTTTGTTCGTACACGGCTAAGTAATGTGAAAGTTTTACTCAACAGGTGAAGGTGTGAAGCCAAAACACCTTTGAATACACGGGAATAAATGTTGATTCGTCCACGCAGTCGATAAAACTATCTAGTTGCCAGACTTTGCTGAAGCTTTGTTTGCTTCAAACTCCTAAAATATACTGATATTGTTGGCATGAGAGGAGTCTGACATTACAAAAAGATAACAGGTAAATAAACCTACCCCAACACGTCCTGACGCCCAAAACACACCTTTAAACCAGGTAATAATCACCCCCGACTCCTCAGAAATCTGCAGTGATGAAGGTCAGAGGTCGCGTTATGCAAATGAGCTCCACACCGCCTCCAATGAGTCGGTCAGATCGCTCAGTCATTTCTTTGATTGAACAGTTTACTCACGGGGACAAAACTGGCTGTTTTTCTGATTTTAATTTGGTCAGAACATGATTCTTTACTGTGATCAATAAAATAGATTTTTATTTCTCTACTTTTCTGTCTAAGTGCAGAGCCTTTGGAATAAATGCCCCCAGCTTTATACAGATGCATCAAAGAATAACTCTTACTCTCACTTTGGGATATGAACACAAGGTTGGTGTTCATATCCCAAAGTTTTCTTACATATAAGTCAGTAGGGCTGACACAAGCTGAGTACTACTACACTGAACAATAAGAATTATCAAAATAAATGTTATATAAATTACTGTATTGATGCTTGTGTAACCAGGTCAAATAGTGAGGGGTTCAAATCCCCAAATAGTCACCGATTGCCATGGGTTACCACACAAATAAAATTCAAAGGACATGAGTTTGGACTGGAAGGAAGATTTATTTAAGCAGTTAAAAAGATCTGGCTTTGGGCAATTTTATTTGCTGCACAAGCACAACAATAAAAACAAATAAGATGTGGATGCCAATACTGCCAGAGATGCTAAGGGATAAAAGCACACTGTTAAAGACACCTCAGCACCTACAGGGACCAGACCTGTGGGCCACCCAGGTGCTTTGACACCACCACTCGCACCGGCGCGCAGCCACCTAGACACAGCAAGATACACACAAACGTCACAATAAAACTAAGTAAAGCATGCACGCACAGCTGTCATACCCACCACCACATGCATTGAAGGGGAAAGGAGTTCCCACAATCCACCACCCTGTCTGTCCGTCAGAACTCTAGAAAAGGGAAAACAAAAAAAAGTGGCTAAGAAGCTGAGGAAAATCGCACAGCCAAAAACAGGGACAGCCGCCACACCCCTAGCAGATGCCGGCAGTTGGCAACCACATTCACAGGGGCCCATCCACCTGTAACAATTCTCATAAAATAGACATAACAATTCAAACACAAGTAGCAGCAGTTGTTTAGCCACTTCTGTTTTGCGTGCCTGAACAACCCTAAAATTACAAGAATTTAATTAGTTCAGTTGTCTTAACACATACTGCCAAAACATACTCGCTAAATACCCAACAATATTTACCTCACACAATGCAGTAAATAGTCAACCCAGCTCTGACTCCACCTCGTTTATGGATCGGATGTTTAGGCCCACTGCAATGTGAATCATGTTATCAAAAGGCACAAACTAGTAAACTTGCATAACTATTAGACAACATCTTTTTACCTCAGTGTTAACCACTGCCTTCTCTGTGGTGGACCTTTAGCACGACAGGCTATTCAGCTGATGAGGTCTGGAAAATAGGTGACTTAAAATACCTGTGATGAAAACAAATTAAAACATGTTCACAAGAGTTAAAAACATTTTCAGCCTTGACTCATAACTCCTACAAAACATACCTGCTCTCTAGCCACACTGGACCACAATGCCTACAGAGAGATCCTGGGTGCGCTCTATAAATCAACTCCTAAAGCAGCACAGGTGTGTGCCTGCTTCTAGAGACAGGGGGGTGGAGCTTCACTGAGAGGCTATAACCGCCCGTGGCCTTACTAGGCAAAAAGCCTGCCTATCACACTTGTATGCTGTTCCTCAAATGTAAGCCAAATGAGTAAATGTAAATGTTATCAATTGAATCCGTTCGTCTTTTTCTTTTCTGTCGACATCCAAGTTATTACGTTTGGCGGTAAAAAGCTTTTTATAGCAGCCCAGATGTCCTTCTTCTCCACATTGTCCAGCTCCTCCTCAGGGATCCCAAGGTGTCCCCAGGCTACATGGGTTATGTAAAACCTCTGTGTGTTCTGGGTCTACCAGTGAATGGGCCTGGAAATGCACATACAGGACAAATTGACTTCATCTGTGAGCCTTGGATCATCTTTCCATTCAACAATGTGGCTGTTCAAAGGGTTTTCACAATGCAATTAACCTTAATGTAAACCCTTTGCAATCACCTCTTGAAACCCAGGATCAAGTAATGTTTCACACAAGCAGTTTTGAAATACTGTTACCATTGCATTGAAGTTTGGGTCAGTGACTGTTGCCAAAATTATTTGGTCCTGCAAAGTGAACACCTGGTGTCAAATGTTAACCAGGATTTATATGAACTACATGGAAGTTCAAGCTGGGTTTTGAAATGAGTAAAGCCCTTAAAGTGTTTTTGTCTGGATCCAAGTTGTTTGTATTTTGCCTTCGCTTATTATGTGCCTCTTAACACTACTGTAGAAATGGAGAATGCAAAAGAGATGTCATGACTGAACCGGATTCAAACCGGAAAACCCTAGTCACACACAGACTCTCTTGTAAATTTGAACCAAAATCCACATACATGTGAGATTATTACTCAAATTAACTTTTAAAGATATCTATTCTCCACATCTGGGTTTCTTTGGCCATTCAATTGGTGGATGAGTTTAATAACCTAGTGATCTTTGTGCTTGTCAAAACTGTGACTCTGTGGGACTCAGACCCATCACCATTGAATCACCTCTTTTTTTATTATACATCCTATACACCACGATACATCTATTGCACCACATAGCTATCATATCAATACACTCGTGATCAACAGAGGGTCAAAACTGTGACTTCTGTTTTCCCTCACATTCCCATTATATCTACATTTCTGAGCCTTACTACAAGCAGTGTTTGTTTGCTGATTGCAGATACTGAACGGTGTTTATTGGCATTATATCCACAGCCTGGTCTCTCACCTGAAGTGCCTCCTTCACGCTTCTGTCGATGATCAGTGTGTCTATTCTCATCTCCGGGACTCCATCTAGAGAGCGGCAGGCTGCGCTCCTGGGATATGCTGCAGCAGAACAGTTTCACCTAAACTGTCTTTTCTTCTCATATAGTAAAGATCTGGAATGATAAAACTGTAATTACAGCTTGTTAGTGTTGGCAGGTTATCCTACAGTACCACACACATTAACTGTATCCATGAAAAACAGTAACTATCAAAGAGTTTGGTTTGGTGTGTATTCAAACAGTGCAAATGTCAGACAATCCAGTCAGGAGGTTGGTCATGCTTCTTCTTGTTCCTACATAAAGTCGCACCTTACAGTAAAACTATAAACATTTACCCCACATACAGTAATCAGACCAGACAACATGTTACTCGACAGTAAAGCCATACTGGATTTATTTTAGTGTAGCCAACTTATTGACAGAAATCACATCTCAAACATGAACAACAGCAGCTTCAAACATCAAAACGTCACTTTAGAAATTGAACACTAGAAGGGTTTTCTCATATTGACAAGACAACAACCATCGGTTTATTTCCCAGACTTTGCATTAATAAAGTGCCCCACTGCATAGGAAGGGACCACAATAACATTTAGCCATCACATGAACAATAGGAGAAAGGTTTATAAAACATACACTAATGTAGAGCAAAGAGATCTTACCGTGGGAATTTCATGACCATGTTAAAATATTTGAGAGTGCATATATACAGACAGCAGAAGGGGCTCCAAAAACACAGTAAGTCTGACATAAACTCTAACAACCAGCTGCGAGGTAAGTGAGATGAGTTCATCCCTGAGATTCCTGAGCTAGCACAGACAGTTTATTTCCAGGCCGAGACATTCAAACGTCTATTCACTCATTTTGGAGAACTTATGCATTTATTAAACATTAAGCCATCAACACTGCGTACAAATTTTGTTGAAAAATAGTTAAATGTCACATTAAATGAACGCTTCCTAAATTCGTACCATAGCTTGCTGTAGCTTGATGTGTAAAACAATAATTGAGATATACACCAGAAAACTATCCAGTCCACATAAATAAGACACATCCAGTCATCATTCATGTGATTTTTGTATAATCCAATCAATGACTGCAAAAACGGAAAACACTCCTCTAAAACAGACTAAAACCACACTGTGACATCTTTGACCAATGGGTTCAAGGTTAAGCTGACATGTCATACGACTTTCTATACCATTTAACAGAATAATGAAGAATTAATTCCTCATCGAGTGGTATTCCCCGTCACAACCTCCACATTGTCATGAAATGTGATTGGCAATCTCATAAAAAGCACATTTTTCCCATGATGATTGTATGCAATTTAAACACATAACTACAATTGTCACAATTTCACACTCTAACTTGAATTGGAAATGATCATGTGGTGTCAGTTTTAGGATCCTTTCTAAATCAAAACAAGCGAAAATCTGTTTCCTCCCCTCCAACCCATACCCTAAATATCCTGCTGGTTTAAGCAGCAAGCAACCTCTTTTACTGTAACAACACCTACTGCATACTCACTGTACTGCTTTTACTTTAAATAGTCAGAAAATATATCAGGCAAACAAGCTCACTCAATCTTGGGTTGGTTGTCAAAATAAGCAAATCCTTTAACACACATACCTGATAGCTGTACAAACATGTAAACATGTATCACATATAGTCACTGGGAAGATTTGTTTTTAAGAATTTTCTTCTTTAAATATATAATTTTTTAAAGCCAAGCACACCTTCTATAGGTACAATCAGCATGATGACACTGTATCATTCATAAGGCAGAACATTTGCATCTTTATTTGCATTTTAGTGTAGTGTCTCAAACAGAAACAATTGGATTAGTCCTCAATGCTTTGTTTCCTGAAATCTGTACCAATATGAGTTTTACCCTACTGAACCCTTCCAGTGTCGAGTCTTACGCCATGTCCTCCTCTTTTTATTCTGCACTGCACCAAACAAAACAAAAAAACATTCAGAGGAAAGGACTGAAAATATTTCAGTTTGTAAATCCCACATTTCAGTGATACCCAGGATGATGCTACACGCTCCCATCCCTCCATCAGGACAGGAAGGTCATGGGTTGTGGATGAACCACAAGATAGCGGTGAAGTTCTCTCCCACAAGAAAACCCTTTGTCCAGCTCTCCATCTCCGTGTCAGCAGCCATTCACATCGCTCACTCACGGAGAGTCCCTCCCTTACTGTTGCCTGTTGTTTCTTTGCAGCAAGGGAGTGAGCTCTGAAAATGAATCATTTTGCGCGTTACTTAATTATTATTTGGGGTTTTGTGTACAGGTTTATTAAGTCAAGTTTATTTATGTGTCGAAATCTCAAGTTTATCCCAGAGGGCAGTACAGCATTAGACTCTATCCTTAGGGAAAATACGTACAGTGAGGAAAATATAATCTCAATGTATGATTTTTTAACTATTTCTTTGCATGATACAGCTGCAAATAAGTATTTGAACACCTGTCTATCAGCTAGAATTCTGACTCTCAAAGACCTGTTAGTCTGCCTTCAAAATGTCCACCTCCACTCCATTTATTATCCTAAATTAGATGCACCTGTTTGAGGTTGTTAGCTGCATAAAGACACCTGTCCACCCTATACAATCAGTAAGAATCCAACTACTAACATGGCCAAGACCAAAGAGCTGTCCAAAGACACTAGAGACAAAATTGTCCACCTCCACAAGGCTGGAAAGGGCTACGGGGAAATTGCCAAGCAGCTTGGTGAAAAAAGGTCCACTGTTGGAGCAATCATTAGAAAATGGAAGAAGCTAAACATGACTGTCAGTCCCCCTCGGACCGGGGCTCCATGCAAGATCTCACCTCGTGGGGTCTCAATGATCTTAAGAAAGGTGAGAAATCAGCCCAGAACTACACGGGAGGAGCTGGTCAATGACCTGAAAAGAGCTGGGACCACCGTTTCCAAGGTTACTGTTGGTAATACACTAAGACGTCATGGTTTGAAATCACGCATGGCACGGAAGGATCCCCTGCTTAAACCAGCACATGTCCAGGCCCGTCTTCAGTTTGCCAATGACCATTTGGATGATCCAGAGGAGTCATGGGAGAAAGTCATGTGGTCAGATGAGACCAAAATAGAACTTTTTGGTCATAATTCCACTAACCGTGTTTGGAGGAAGAAGAATGATGAGTACCATCCCAAGAACAGCATCCCTACTGTGAAGCATGGGGGTGGTAGCATCATGCTTTGGGGGTGTTTTTGTATTAAGGAGAGGATGACCGGGGCCATGTATTGTGAGATTCTGGGGAACAACCTCCTTCCCTCAGTTAGAGCACTGAAGATGGGTCGAAGATGGGTCGAGGCTGGGTCTTCCAACATGACAATGACCCGAAGCACACAGCCAGGATAACCAAGGAGTGGCTCTGTAAGAAGCATATCAAGGTTCTGGCGTGGCCTAGCCAGTCTCCAGACCTAAACCCAATAGAGAATCTTTGGAGGGAGCTCAAACTCCGTGTTTCTCAGCGACAGCCCAGAAACCTGACTGATCTAGAGAAGATCTGTGTGGAGGAGTGGGCCAAAATCCCTCCTGCAGTGTGTGCAAACCTGGTGAAAAACTACAGGAAACGTTTGACCTCTAATTGCAAACAAAGGCTACTGTACCAAATATTAACATTGATTTTCTCAGGTGTTCAAATACTTATTTGCAGCTGTATCATAAAAATCATACATTGTGATTTCTGGATTTTTTGTCTCTCACAGTGGACATGCACCTACGATGACAATTTCAGACCCCTCCATGATTTCAAAGTGGGAGAACTTGCAAAATAGCAGGGTGTTCAAATACTTATTTTCCTCACTGTATGTAGCTGGAGCTAATAGTAAGCTTAGCTTAGTTTAGGATAAAGAATGGAAACCCTGTAACTGTCCAATGGGGACAAAATCTGCCTACCAGCACATTTAAAATTCACCAATAAACACATTGTACCGTTTAAACACTGAATGGTTGTTTTCACATGAGAGTGATCAGTCTTTTCATAAGAAAACAACTAAGCTTATTCCTCTAAATATCAAACTAATGCTTTAAGCATAGACATAAAGCATAAAAAGAAACGTTACCTAATCTCGTGTCCGTTTCATAAACTAAACAAAAACAACTAAATATTTCCATCCTGAAAGTAAAACTGAAAGTTAAACAGCATTTTCCTATAATGTGCTGTCAAACGTTCCTGTTTGTACTCTGAGAAATGGCAACAGGTTTGGGTAGAGGTAAATGTCATGATTGCACTTTATTGGCCTAAACCCTTTCTTCCACCTCCAACTCTCTTTTCAGTCATTTCTCATCCTTTCCTTCAACATTTCCTTAATATCACAAGGTAAAATTACACAAAATTAGTATTTGTCTCTATCCACAGACCAACTCATAGTTTTTTAATGTAAAAAACTGAAGATGGTTATAACTTCAAAAATAATTTTGACTATCAGTCTACACCAAGACTGATTAAAAGGTGCTATTATGGCTGGTTTATATTTTTTATAGATAATAGTTTGAATTGCATGATAATAAAGTAAACCAAACTGGTGTTCTAACAAAGTTGTGGGATAACACAACATAATATAAAGACAGAACTATACTAAACAATAACAAATCATTTCTCAATTTAAAATGTGATTTTTAATCTTTCATAGAATACTATAAATGAAAACAAATAAAATTCTGTCTTGTCCTGCCTCTGTACTCACCTTTCATCTCAGTTACCATCTTGCTGTCGTTAGTTGTGGCTGAGTCCGGACAGCTGCAGCTGTTCTTAGCTGCTTCAGCGTTGGCTTCTGTGAGGCTACTGGCAGAGTCTTCTGCATTCGTTACTTGATCCTGTTTCCCTGCAGCACCGGTAGGTGTTTTCCCATCCACACTGTCCATCTTCACCGGACAGAGAGTCTGCAGCAGACTAAAGATGTCAACGTTTTCTCCAGAGCGGTCACCTCGTCTCTTCAACATCTCCAACACCTACAGTCAGAGAACATACAACAACATTGGACAAAGAAAAGAAACAAATATATATATATTAATGTTTTAATTCCTATAATGTGTAATTGCATCCTACACTACTATTTACACTTATTAATGTGCTTTGATATCTATTTTTTGAGAGATATAGTAGGTAGCGCATCAGTAAACTTATATTTTGATCAAAACTGATGACATAATGGCAGGATTGAAGAAAACCTCCCAAAAAATAACAAGAATTTTTCTTTTACCCGTTTAGAGATGCATCCAAAAACAGTCCCTTGTTCCATCATTTACTACACCCTATATAATAGACACTCACACTAGTTTATTCAATAGTAAGAAGTAAACTGAGATTTTGGACATTTATAAATCATTGTATTGTGTCAGAGACACACGCATCTATAAAATGCTCATTGCGTTGTGGAAATGTTAGCAGACAGTGGACCTTTTTTTGTTCCAGTGTGAGCATTTTTGATGGCACATTATCGAGCATACATTTCACAATCAAGAGTTTGGAAACTGAACTCAAATGATGGACAGTAGTGCACAACACGGTTACATAGGGGGTGATCTTGGACACTGGCACACAAACAGAATATGTCGAAATACCTTGATGTATTTGTAGGACTTCAGTTCGCTGATGTTCTCCTCCAGGAAGAGCAGATACATAGGGAGATCGTTCCATTGGCCAGTGGCTGTGGGCAGGACGCCAAGGGTGGGCAGCAATTCGCAGGTCTTCAAGAAGCGGGCGTATCCATGGCAGTAAAGGGGACGGAGACTAGCGTAGATTACCACGGGAATCAGTGCAACGAACAGGGCCAAGTTGACAAAGCTGGAAACAGAGTAAAACGTTCACTGAGTGAGTTTTGATTGAGGGCATTTAATATTACAATCTGACCAAGTTATAGAACAACATGAGTAACACAATGACAAATGATCTACATACAATATAATCATCAAAACAAAATCACAACATTTTAAGTGAATAACAAACATGAAATTTCTCTTGAGAATGGTGGTAAGTCACATTACAAGAGAGACACCTTATGATATTAATGCCATCCAGAACTATTATTTAAATTCACACATTCAGCAGATTTCATTACAGAGCTATTGTTTTGGAGTACATTATATTATACAGGTGTTTATGTTATTGTGTCCACCCTCGTTGTTGTTGTTGTTGTTGTTGCAACGTGGGACTTTCGGCCTGACCCTCCCAACAAATATCTGATGTATTTCAGGTGAACCACAAATTAAATGAACCTCAGCATGATAACCAAACTTCGTACTGCACAGACAAATACCTCAGCAAAGAGAAGACTCCCACGGCAATGAGCTTACACTGCACCTTGTTCGGGATGCCAGTGTCATTTGCAAGCAGCCCGACACGCAGCTCACAACCAAACTCGTCTGTGACAGAGGCCAGGCGGAGGTAGTAGCCGAGGTAGAGGCAGGCACACAGCAGGGTGACAAATGTCAAGCCGCGACACAGCAGGTAGTAACACAGCAGCCCCCGTGAGCACCGCTTGGACATCAGAAACTTCTCCACCAGCGGGTAACTGAAACAGCCCTCGGTAAGATCGCTGGCAGAAGAGAATACAGGAGCAGGGAGAGAAAGACCAGTGAACAATGATGAAGTGATTTCATTGATTTGCTTAATAACTATGATCAAGATTAAAGAGATCACCTGTTATTTAATAGGAAATCCTCATTTGCAACAAAATGCTACATGTAGTGTCTCTAAAATGAGGCAAAAGTTAATATTTCAAGATTTTCATCCTCCAAAAGTTGCAAATTATTAACAAATTGATCACCTTGGCTTGAACTGTATTCCCTCTTAGAGTGTAATTTAGAATGCTTAAAATGTAATAATATTTTGCATGTGACATGTAATACTACACTATTTGTTTATATATAAAATGGTGTAGTAGTACCATACATAAAAAAAGGAAAATGCATACATTTAAACTGTGGGTCAGTAAACATATACAAGCGCATATGCAAAATTTCAGTCTTTATTTATTCCAGGAACAAAATCAATGATTAAATGACTATGAAATGAAATCTGTGCAGTAGATGGCTTCAGCCGGCTGCAATTTATTCCTTCAGGGCAATTGCGCGCATCAAAAAAGTAAAACGTGCTTCTTTTTGCCAGTGACAGGCTCAGACTGTTATGGTTAGAAGTCTTGCACAAGGACAATTGTCACTCTGAAATCTTTTGAGAGGCGAGTCGTTGCAGGATCACCACGGTGGAAACGTGAGACAGAGTTGGAGAGAGGAGTTTGTTGTGTTGGAATAACATTAAATAAAGTATTCCTAGCAGTTCCTCTACGTATAAAACAAACACTTGTTAAAAAAAAAAAATAGGTGTCACCAGCCTGTCAGCGGCACAATTAAGCACTTTTTGTGGTTATTATTGTGATGGGTGCAATTGCCGCTAAGGAATACAACGCAGCCACTGCAGCTGTTGGCTGAAGCCATCTACTGCACGGATTCCAAAAGGTTTAAAGGTTTAAAAATAACTCTGAACAAACAACAGTGGGGTTTGAACATTTGCTTAAAGTAAAAAAAGTTGGCTGCTAAACTCTAAAACAATCCCATGCTATCAACCTTGCCTCTTTTGGAACAGTTCACCACACCACAAGGTCAAATACTGTCCCAGTGCTTGTGTCACAAGACTTAAATCAATTAAATTATTCACGATGTCTCGCTCATTAAATACACAGGACTTATGAATGCACCTCTGTCAACAAACTGGGTTGGTTCCAGAATTGATTTAGAGATCATTTCTATTGATAAGTTCATTATGATCCCCCTATTGTCATATGGTATTTCACATGCTACCCTAACTCCAACCAGTTTTCTTCTGTGATGCTAAACCTTAATTCAACCTTAGCCTAACCCCAACCAATTCTCTCTGCAAGTCTGAGTTGATTTCAGGTGTTCTGCTGTACCTGTCTGAGGTAGTTTTTGAGGTGGACATGCGTTTGGCCAGAGTGACAGCATGGTTATAACACCGGTCCAACTCTTCCATGATGAAGCTGAGGTCCGACTGCAGGAGGGGCGCCACAGAAAATCTCCAGAACAGCGCTGGGGTGTACATCAGCACCGCCACCAGCAACAGAATGTAGGGAAAGAACTGGAGACAGGATAGGGGTCAACAAAAATGCTAATTGACAAATCATATTATTGACAATAACCTTCCTAAATTCCTCAAAGTTTAGAGACAGGGACAAGCCATTTAAGTTATAGTACCACCTCCCAACCACCACACGGCGGACCCTCAAAGCGTTGTCTCCAATTCCATTCGATTATTATCTTTTATATCTCATTTTAATATACTGAATCACAAAATTTAAAATAGAGGAGGGAAGTGGAGATAAACCAAGTACCTCAGCAATAACTGTAAAATAGTATTATTATCAGAAAACTAGACAGAAAAAACTTCTATCCACTCCAATGGATGTTATGCGCCAAAGGGTCTTATTTTGTATGTTTTATTTGAAATGATAATATAATTTGAACTTGAATAACTTTATGTGTATTTATACCACTTGCTTTATTAAGTAAATGTTTAAAAACATATAGTTTTTAGGACCTATATTGAGTTCCACTCAATCACTTCTGATGTCAAAATTAAATATATTGGGGGAAAAGGTTTATAGGCATAGTTTTCGACTTCAAACAACAACAGACATAAACTAACTAAACAGTGTCAGATGTGGGCGTGTCCATTCTTATCCATGACCCAAATTGAACTTAAAGTATAAAGGGAAAAATTTGTTTGATTATGTTTTAGAGATTAATGGAGGAACAAATCAGCTGTTTTTCATAAAGTTTCCGTAACTGTAATGATTGCAGTACTGCAGAAAAAACATCTTTTAACAGTGATACAGTTATGTTAAAGGATGCAATTCACAAGTAGCATAAATGACTGTTTCAACACAAAACAAAAGCTGCCTCTGCACTACTGACGTTTAATCTTCTACTTTAATACACCATACCAAGAAAACATACAGGGGAGACTCACATTTTAATCATTTAACACATTAATGATGTGACTCACTGCTGTGTAAAGAAATCATGTTACTTAATGTTTAAATTTTAAACAGCAGCATCCTGTTAAACACTAACTTTTTGGAATTTTCTAAGAAAATTACTGTCTGACATTTATTATTTCCCCACTGCATGGCACATTTTTCTTTATTGCATAGCATCATCATGCTTATTAAAATACAGTCTGTTCCAGCAGTAAGACTGTCTAAACATGTCTTATTGTTCTGGTAGAAGGTGAGTTACAAGGCATGTTCCCATATGGTATGTGTGTGGACATGTTTTAATCAAACTTATGTCAATCAATTGAATAGGTTCAGTAAATGCTACCCTGTTTGTTTGTGTGTGTGTGTGTGTGTGTACCTTGTGCAGCCACAAAGGTAGATTGTGTGTATGTACGTCTGCCCAGCAGAATGAATCCACGTATGCAGCCTGCCTCCAGGAGAAGGTTGTGGGAGCAAAACAGCTGATCTGAGCACCTGAGAGAAACATAAAGAAATAAAGTGCACGAGTAAGTGAGAAGTTGTAATGGAGCACAGCTGATTTATGTATAGACAGTGGAAAAACAAAATCAGGATGTTCATTGGTTTAACACTGATCCATGATTACAGGATTATAATCAGTTTGAACCTTTTAAGTTTATGTAAAAGGTTCAAAGCTTATGTAACGAAGGATTTAGTTTTTTTCTTTTGAATATCTTCAGTCTGCAAAATATTTGTTGACTGTGTGCTTCTCTATGGCCTTAAAATCTGCACATCTCTCTCTGATTCTCCATCCGATTGTTGTGAATTGATGTGATCTGGGCACGACATTTCAGGTCTGTGGTTTAATATATAGTAGACGCATTTGTCTTCATGCGTGGCATGCTGGTTTGAAATTGTGTCCAACTTTCGCCGGTGCTGCAAAACATCACCATGTCACATTAATACCTCGCGGGAGCAAGGTGGCTGCAGGCACCGAGTCCGGCGGCTGCAGTTGCTTTTCTCCGGCGTACAAAGCTGGAACCACACTACTTCCTGGTCTTGCGGCATTTTTCAAGATCAGTCATTGATTACAGCTAATAATACGCTCACGCAGGTAGAATGTGTCCAACATGACGGCGCTGTTTTTACACCCCGCCACTGCAGGCACCTGCAGCTCACATTAGCCTATCAAAGAAAGTCAGCCTCCGTCATCTCGAACGCACCTAGTGTGTGCAGGTATCCTGACTAACATGATCAGGCTTCACTTAGCCTTTGCTTGAACCTGAATCTACAGTTTTTCAGTCCTGCAAAGTTCCTTCCTAGAATAACCCTTTAGTCTAGACATGAACTAGTCCAGTTCTGGTCTTGGACGAGACTTGTCATCTTGACTCTAGTTTTGGCTCTGCATCCCAACTCACCAACTGAAACTTCTTGAGCGAAAGCCAGAGAGATCAGCAGGAGGGGCAAGCCCACTGCCACACAGGTCACAATCTTGTCCACAGCCAGTTCAGTTCGGATGTTCTTGTATCGGGCCTGGTTCTGCTCCTTCAGCAGAAAATCACTGAACACGTACTCTGTAGCTACGCTGGCGATGGCCATCTCACCTGTCTTCTGTTACCAGCAGCACATATAAAATAACACCTGCGGACAAAAAAATCCAGAAACATGTTTCAGATATTAAGATGAATTCTCTGTGTAAACTGACATGTCCCTCAACACTGTGAAAAATGAAAGTCATTTTGCCTTTTTGTCAGGCAAATTTCAGTTGCAGAATGCAAAGCAAGGTGTCAGGTAAACAGTCTGTCCCAAAGACAATCCCAGAGAAAGTTTAACAGTCTGGTGGCCGGTGCTTGCTGTGCTTCGTAATGCAACTCTAACACATGAATAAGGCATTACTTTGCTGGTATGACATTTACAAACTTTGTGAAAATGATCATCTTAATAACCTTAAAGGAATTTCAGTATTTTTAAACCTGGGTCCTGTTTTCAAATATTTTGAATGAATAGTAGGTGCAAAAAGTTTTGGAATCTGTGCAGTAGAGCTGCAACGATTAGTTTATTAATCGAATAGCTGACGATTAAATTAATCAATTCATCTGTTTGAGTCACTTTTTAAGAAAAAAAGTTGAAATTCTCTCATTCCACCCTCTTTAATGTGAATATTTTTTGTGTTCTTTACTTCTCTATGACATTTAACAGAATATCTTTAGGTTGTGGATGAAACAAGACATTTCAGGACGTCCTCTTGAACAGTGGGAAACACTGATTTTACACCATTTTCTGACATATTATAGACCAAACAACTAATCGAGAAAATATTCGGCAGATTGGTCGACTATAAAAATAATCACTAGTTGCAGCCTTAACGTGCAGTACATGACTTCAGCCAGCAGCCTCAAACCAGCTGCAATGTATTCCTTCAGGACTACTTCATTTTGCCGCCAACAGGCTTGGACAGTTATACCAGGTGTCTGACAACATCAGTGAAACGACCCCTACGAGTGACTCCCTGTGACACCGTTTGTTTTAGATACAGAAGTCTCCTTCAGGGACAGTTCTCGCTCTGAAATCTCATGAGACGAGTTTGTTGTGTACATAGAGGAGATGCTAGAAATACTTTATTTCCTAACATTTCTCCAACACAACAAACTCCTCTCACCAACTCACATTTCCAGCATCGTCTTCCTGCAACAACTTGCCTCTCATGAGATTTCAGAGCGAGAATTGTCCTCATGCGAGACTTCTTTTTTTGGCTAAAAACAAAGGGTGTTACTGGGAGTCCTTCGTAGGGATCCTTTCCATGATGTTGTCAGACACCTGGTGTCAGTATGAACCTGTCTGTGGCAAAAAGAAACACTTTTTGTGGATGTAATTTAGAAGGGTATAATTACCTCAAAGGAATAAGTTGTAGGCACTGCAGCCGGTTTGAATTCATCTACTACAAAGACCTTTTGTACCTACTAGTCATTCTAACTCCAAAATATGTGAAAATAAGCCCCATGTTTTAAAATACTACAATTTTCCTTTAAAGTAAAGTGACATTTACATACAAATACATTTTAATCTTGTTATTATGGCGTTAAATCAAGATTAAATATTAATTTTATAATAGGCAGGTCTTTTCCTTACTCGTTCTGTCTCTCCTACTTTTGTTCACCAATGACCTAATTCACCAGGTCACACGCATACTGTCAAAACAAGTTTGAGGAAAACAGGATACTTGTGATATTTGACAATGACATTTTCATTTGAGTAATACCTTCCTTATTTTCTTTTGTCCAATTTATAGTCACTACTGGATGCTTCAAGCCAAAAATGCTAAAATACTGGTGGTACAGAAAAACTTGACATGTGGAGCAACTTCTCAACCGGACATTTATGCTTTGATAAACGTTTATGATGCATATTTTTTGTAAATCCGGTTGAGTTTGTTAAATAACCTCAACTGATTCATAGCATTTTACAAGCTGCAAAGCCAACAGTGTTTAAATCTTGCCTAATGAAACCTCAGCTGAAATCATAAATAACTTTAATTAATTTGCATAACCCGGTCTAAATTATTATAAACCGTCACTAATTGTTTTGGTGATGATTCATAATTTACCCGCCATTTCAGTCATGACCACTGATTTATTAACCAAGGTTGAAAACAACTTGTGACTCTCTTCCCACAACAACAACAACAAGAAAAACAACAGGTTCCTTTGTTTATCTGGAGCTGGATTTTTGCAGTATAACTAACGTTACTTTCAGTTTTTATTCATTCTATTTTTTCAGCAAAAAAACACTTGATTTGCAGGCTAGGTTAACTTTCAGTACGTTATTTAGCTAGCTATGAAGTGTGACTGCTCAGAAAACGTGTTTAGGGAAAGAAGAAACACGTTAGAAGTTGTTGTAAAACGAAACTATGAACTTGAACTTACTTACCGACCTGACTGTTAAAGTGTCATGGCTGTAAGTGCACAGCTTCGGCTGCAGCAAAAATAACACTTGGGTGTTTTCCAGGACTGGAGCTAAATGATGTGGCAGACTAAAGTTACACATTCAACAAATGAAACACTTTCGAGTCTTCTTCTTCCTGTAAGAAAGAAAACTCCTTCCGCCTTCTTTAAAAACAGATGCATTCAAGTGCAAATCGGAATCTCTCATATCCCAGCTGTAATGCTGCCTTCAAATGAGCGTGTGAGTTTGTACTTTGGAAAGTCGAGTACATACGCAGGGTTGTGTTTATTATCATGAGAAGGTTATTACTTTGTTAAACTCATTTCTCATTACCATGCATGACGTTAAAATGCAGTAAATCAGAAAACCATTATTTCGGGAAAAAATAAATGTAAATAAAGCTTGGACAAGATGCCCCTCAACACCTTAGTTTACTTGCATAGTTTTCTAGATGCCTATGGGATTACAAAAATAATTTAAAAAAATATTTTGCAAATCTTACAGAGGTCATATGATTTAACAGCCTTTTGGTTTGTACACTTAGATAAAAAAATATATTGCTTAATGTTAGCAGCCAGCTCCAGAAACTTGGCTTTAGTTTCAGGAATTTTGACATATGCAAATAAAATTTTGTTAAAGTAATAATAAAAGTAAATTTAAACCTCTGGTGTGATTTAAAGTCTAAAATACAACCACACGAAATCAAGCTATGCAGTTAAGATTGCCACAATATTAAAATGAAAAGAAATGTCCCCTAAAACTATTCTTGTTTCAAAATATAACAAAGAGCTCAAATGCCAAGAAATGCAACCAAAATTTGTCTCTTTGTGATGATGTTGCCTCTGATTTGGTTTATTGAGTTTTCCTTCTTTTAGGAAGTGTTCCTGTCTGAAATATCAGTGTTTTCAGTGCTGAGAACAAACCAAGCAAACCAAATGACACGCCAAAGCTGATTTCTTTACCTTTCAGGTCTTTGTAACAATACTAGTTTAGGGTTGCAGTTATTGTTGGATGGTTTACAATTTTCTTTTTGTATTTAGTACTATCCTCCCTCCAAATCCCGTCCGCCCCAGAACAACTTTAAGGATGCCCAAGGATCTCAAATAATCACAGTTGGGTCACCAAAGCTGCAGTAAATAGCCACTGGTGTGTGCTGACTGGGACCAGCATTCAAAAGAAGTGGTTCCCATCATGTGGTTCAGGACACTTCCACAATGTCAGAAGATACATTTGTGGTTTTGAGAGATGATTTACAGAATAGAGATAGAAACGAAATTAAATTCTCAAATCTCTTTTTTCTTGGTAAATACTTAATTGATCACAACAAGTTGATATTGCTTAATTATAAGGGATTATTAGGCTAAAACGTTGCAGGTAACAGTCCCACAAAGAACTCTACACCTGTTTATGCCAACACCCTAATGCTATTCAGAGTAGCCCACTTTAGTATTGTTTGTGTTACCGCACATATAGTATTTCTCAAAAAATATACTTATGAAAATGTTTTCCAGAGAATTATCTCAGTACTAGTTTTAAGATCTCCGTACCTTGATGGTAACTTTGAAAATTATTATTTAAAGAAGACATGTCAGGGCTTTAAGAGGGAGATATATATAAAGAGAGAAGACAGATTGTTTTCCAAATTGTGGTGCTTACTGCTAGTTCATCGCATGTGTCCCAAAATCTTTTACTCTTGTAACTGGACAGGATGGTGGTGAGCAGTAACCTTAAATAGCTTTAAAAGCCCAATTTGTGTCCAAGAGTCTGTATTTTTCTACAGTGGAGGCTTTGTCTCTCTGTGGCAAATGTGTTCATTACAGGCAGCATGAAGTTAACATTTGGGCAAGTCAGCACAAGTAGCTAAGCCTGGAAAGGGGCTTTGGTTGGTGGAGTTTAGACATGAGTTTCAACCAGAAAGCAGGACAATGTTTTGATTCAATCGTCATGATTAATGTGAAAAATTACGATATCTTCCTTTAATTGTGAGATATTTCCAACAGTCCGTAAATGCATCCTCTAGGGCAGCGTGTTTATCTACGCAGGATGTATCGGTGAGATCCACAAGAGACTGATTTAAACTTCATGTGTTGAAAAACTAAGCTGCACATTTAAGAACAAATTATGAGAAATGAAACATCAGTTTGGTCTCCATCATTCACACCTACGTTGTGTTTTTATTTATGTTTCTAATTTTTGAGGAAGACTGATGAAGGGTAATTATACGATACTTTATTTATGCTGGAAACATATAAGAAATTGAAAAGCCATAACCATTTTGAACAGTTTTCGGATGTTGGTCTATCGCGTTGAATTCTGGGCATTTCTCGCTCTGCCCTCCCTGGTCCTCCCAACTTCTCGCAGCTGCGTCAAGTTGCTGTAAAATACGCAGAATGATACCGGAAGAGGGAGGATTGTGTGTTTAAAATAAAAGCATAAAATATGTACATTAGAGAAACAAATAAAGAAAAACATAACCATCAAACTGTGTAAAGTAATAAAATTGGAATGTAATAGCTACCGGAACTAATAGAGGTCATCCACATCCTTCGCTTTTGGTTCTTTCTTTGACGAACCCAGAACGTACGCCCCCAATCGGTTTTATTTTGAAACTCTTGCCCAGAAGCTGTATGCTCTCGTTTTGACTAGCTTGACTACGGTAGCCGCTTCACTCGCTCCATTCATTTCATTCGCACACAGTCGCATCCTAAACAGCGTGCCCCCCTCCTCCTGTTTCACTCCGCCTGGAAAGATGGCTGCTCCGGTGGTGGTGAGAAGCTCCGGCCCGGCGCTCTGCCCGAGCTTCGCGGAGGTCTGTTCGTTCCTGGAGCGGTACGGAGCGGCGCTGGATCTACCCGAGATGACTTTCCCGCAGATGGAGAGGTATCTGCGGGACACGACGACAGGTGAGAGGCCGGTGGTTACTGGTTGGCAGTGGGGCGAAGAAGTGGTGGAAAGCTGCGACACTTGAAACCGAAGGAGAAGGGGTCCACCACCACCACCACCACCACCACCATCATCATCGTGATGATGATGAGGATGACGAAAATGTTGAGAGTGTGTGTGGCCCCGGCAGAACAGCGTTATTGATTGATTGGGAGCTTCTACGCGCTCTTACCGGTTATTAACTCAACGACTGTCAGTTTTCTTGAAACACAACCTTTTTTTATTTTTTGGCCCAAGTTTCTTAGGAAGCATTTGAACAGAGAGCCGCTAACATGAAGCTAGCTCTACATTACACATACTTTGGACTGTGTGTTGTGTGTTTGTGCTAAAGTAAAAGCTGGCGAACGGATACAGACGGGGGTACAACATTTGGCAAGCTACCTCTGTCAAGTGACAGGTCGTCGATATTGTTGTCAAGGCTGGTATTGATCTGTTAACGCTAAAGTTGGTGTGGGAGCCATGATGCAGCACAGCCCAGTGACCACACACAGCCAGCCAGCTAGCTCCGGAGTGTTGTCAGGTGTAATTTTTCACCGGCCTTGCCTCACAGGCAGTCGGACTGAAAATGGCATCAGTCTCCCCCTGTGTTTATGTGTTGATCACGTGCTCACGGGAATTATATTTCCCACTAATCGATGTGTAGCAAAGACTACTGTCAAAACTGAGCGAGTGATGTTAGCTAAAAACATTGGATGTTATTTTTTTTTTGCCATTGGTAGAGTCGCTGTCAAATCTGCACAGGCGCAGTAGGGGCGGTAGATGATGCTAACTTACCAGTTAGCATCAAGGACCTCCGTCAACTTTTAGTACAAGTGTAAACACGGAGACCATACAGTTCATTTACCATGTTATTGTTTATCAGAAAGAGATGTTTGAGATGTCTTGTTAGTAACTAACATTTGCAAACCGTGGCAGCCAACCTCGCTTGTTAGCTAACGTTAGCTATATTAGTTTTCAATTACCGTTAGCTTCGCTGCTTAGCTTCTAACGTTATATACCGTAACGTAAAAGCGTATAATAAAGTCAGACTTAACAGCGAATATACGTACTGTTGTAAGCTATAATATTTATCTGACATTTCAGAGTCAGGCCTGATTAATTTCGTTTTTTCCTAGTCGGGATTCTGTGCCAGTTAATGTGAAAACAGAAAATGTCAGAACCGTTTCATAAGGGAAACTGGAATTTCCTGTAAATATACGAGTTCCAAAACGTCTCACATCAGACCACACATCATAATTCTTTTAAATGTTTTTGTTTTCAGTAAAGTGCGTGTTGCAAATATCAGTGGGACTTTTTCTTTCATTTCGAAGCCAGCAGAGAGTCATAACAATATAATAACAAGAATTAGGGGACATATGTAACAAATCATGACAATTGTCTGTTAAATCCTGAATAAAAACTAAAAATTCATTTAGAGACAATACATAATAATGGTAAATAAAAACATAAAGAATAGGGATTACAAAAAGGAAAGTGAAAGTAATTGTCAGAGGTGTGTTTTGATGCAGTCAACATTGAATCTAGTCTACAGGTAAATGTGACTAAGTTACAATCCCCTATTCAGATAAATATCCTTCAAAAAATAACTTTTCTGTGTTCAGAGTTTTTAACAGAGGTACATTTAATTGAGCTTTTGGATACACCCTCAAATTTGGCTTTTCTTGAGGCATCTCATCTTATTAATATCTTTAAAAGAGTTAAAGATTGAAAATTAAACCAATTTTAGAGTTTTTGGGAGAGTAGTAGTAGAAAATTTGCTTATTTTAACAGTGTCTATCGGAGATGTTTAAATTCAATCTTACTGAAGCAAGGAATTAAAACCCTTACTCCAAAACAACACAACACTTTTTATTCATAACTGGCGACCAATCATTTTATTAAACAACAACTAAAAGATGAGATCTTAGCTGATTATCTGCGATTTGGATCACACAACCTAATTGATGAAAGAGATGTAGAAAAAGCAATAACATAAGTGGTGTTTGATAGACTAATTAACTTCTTGAAGATGAACCTGCAAATGTTATTTTTAGATTTTCATAAGGCTCTTGACTGTCAGTCACAAATATATCTTTTATACCAACATTAGAGCCCTTTTGTGATTCCGCAAAAATAAATAAATTGCTTTTAATGACTGTGTTTACATTTACACAACTATCTACACTCATGAGAGATAAGAGGGAATAGGCTGATAGGCTACCATTAAAATTTAAAAAGTGGTGAAAGGTTTTCCTGAAAATTAAACATTTAGCTGTGAGATCACGGGTACCCGATTTTTGAGAAGCACTCACATACTAAACATCTATTTATCCACCACTGAGTGAACAACATAAAATATTCATAAGCTTGCACATCACCAGTCATCAACAAAAATTTTTTAATATTTCACTGCGGAAAACACATATTATAAGCAGCATACACTGATCAGCACATGTAAAAACAGTGACGTGTGTGTCTCTTTTTATTGCTTATCTCAATAAAAAGTTGCACTGATGAACTGGCTCATAAGCCCTCAATGATTACAGTACAACTAGACAGTACTAGATTACAGTACTACTAACCAGTCTGAGTCTGTATGAACACATTTTACATTCATGGCTTTAATCGTAAATGTCATTTTCCTTTTTATATATATATAGGTTGTTGCTGCTGGAAGGAATGTGAAATAAAAATACAAGCAAGTGCAGGACCAGTGTTTAGAGTGTAAGGCAATGTTGTCAAGTTGTTTATATATACAGTATTAAGTTGAATCTTGAACCCAGTTTAAGATTTAATCACATTGTTGAGTCTTTACTGATCTCTGTTTCTCATGAGAAACAGAGATCAGTAAAAAAAAAAAAATTACAATCTAAAATTGTGCAATCTAACAGTGTTATACAAAAAATAATTAAAACATTGACCAGACATGAATGCAAATCCTTTTCCTGTGTTTTGAGATATGATTGATTGCCAAAAGGGAATTGATCATTCCCCTTTGGTCTACTAAACAGGGGGGCAAGATATCAGGGTCAGCTGTAGGAAAAACAACCCTTTAAAGTTGTGCTAAGCACACTTCAGCAGGATGTTGACACTTGAGTTGTAGTCATCTATGAAAAGTGTTATTTTTCTGATCACCCTGCGTATTTTCCAGTTCCTAAACCCCTTGTGGAGCTCCACGTGAAGCTGCTCAGAAAACTTGGGAGGTCTGTGTCTACTGAACGCTGGGAAAAATACTTGGCTAAGGTGAGAGCTTGATTTTTGTGTATGTGTTTGTGATGTGCTTGGTGCCAGATTCCATTTGGACTGACTGCACTTGACATGAGTAAACACGACTTACTGAAGAGGTTCAGCCATCAGTAAGTCCAGCTCTCTCTGGGTGGAGTGCTCGCTTGCTGCTTTTTCAGAGGCACAAGGTTGCGCTCAAGTTTCCCACCCCCAGCTGATATAAATTGAAAGGGAACGTGTAGTTGGGATGGGATGCAGTTACAGTCCATGTTTGCCATTTACAGTAGGACCATAAAAAAGTGTATTTGTACAGAAAACTCGGACATTGTGAAGTAACAACTTCCCATTAACCATTCCATTAACTGTAGAGTCTTACTTCTGTTGTGGGGAAGTGTTGAAAGAGGAGGAGACATATGAAAGAAGATTAAACCAAACATATCAGTGATGAGACAAACAGCTTGTGCAAACATGCTTGTGTGCAATGACTAGATCTAATCATTATTTCATGTAGGTTTGCCAGGAGTTGAACAATACCTGGGCATGGGAGCTAGAACAGAAGGGCTACCAGGAGATGTCCATGGAGTGCAAGTCAAGCATCCTCAAAGTATGACCTTCCCTTATTTTACTTAATGTAATTGGTGTATTCAAAAGACTGAAACATCTGCAGTCAGTCAACCACGTTAACCTTCTCTTTGTTATATCTTTCCCCCCTTCAACTCCACCTTCCTCATCCTCTTTCCACACATTTATTTTGTTTACCCTTCAGTATCTCTGCGAGTGTCAGTTCGATGACAACCTAAAGTTCAAGATGGCGATTAATGAGGAGGACCCAGAGAAGATGCGCCTGCAGCCTGTAGGTCGAGACCGGCAGGGCCTGATGTACTGGCTTCAGCTGGACCAGGAGCAGAACATCCGGCTGTACACGGAGGAGCAGGATGATCTGGATGGATCTACCTGGAAGTGCATCGTCAGGTAGTAATGTTGTCGTAATATGGTGGATATATCTCAAATAGTTTGTTGACACTATCTATTGTTGTTGTTTTCTCTGTTCTTATATAAGAACAGATATAAAATCTGACGTCATTATTATTTAGAAATGTTGTTTTCTGTGTTGGTTAGGTTCACGTTGCACATTTACATGCTAACCTTGGCTTAATGCTAGTTTAAAGGTGGGGTAAGCTATGCTAATCCAATACTTGTCTTTTTGCCTAATTTAGCAAATATCTTCTTAACGTCTGCTAGCTGTCAGTTCTGCGTGTGTGCTGAAAAACCAATCTGGCATTTGTACATAGCCCTGGCTCTATAAATGGGAAACAAGTGGCCTGCACAGAGCCACACAACATTATTCAGGTAGCCCAAAAACATTCAGCTTACTTTGTCATTTGCCAAGATATCCTCTCTGAATCTGCAACTGTAGCAACAGTTTCCTAACCCACAACCTAGATAATGTTACTTACATCACTTGCAGTGTTGTTGTTCGTTATATATCATGGTATTTGTTGT